AAAACGGCGAAAATAATAATAACAAACAGAAATGAAAAAAAATCAATGTCATGAAAAAAGAATTCATCATCATTATCATCTTCACCATCATCATCATCAGCATTATCATCATCATCAGCTGCATTATCATCATTATCATCAATACAAATTAAGACGGGGATTGAATCAGTAGCATCAGGGGAATATTCCCCTGGTAGCATAACAAATGCCCTAATCTAGCCGAAGTAACAATAATACAAATAAATTTCGAAAAGCCAATAATAGATAGAATATCTTTACAATTTAGTCTAGTTCATAGCTAAAGCCAAGTCCGATTCAAATTGCCAAATTGGCGCACTCTAAATGATTTGCGCTTGTGTTTGAGATGTTCGTTAAATATCACAAGATAGTAAAATGTGATAAAAACGCTTTTAAACAGAATGAAAGTTAAAATCCTAAAATCCATATGCATGTGTTTATGATAGTCTTTAGCGTGGAGAGGACGGTTTAGCTCAGTTATTATTACTTTTGAAATATTTTTTTTTACTGATTAGCCATTATTATTAGACTGTTACATATATTGTATTAAATGACTTACGCATACATTTAGAGCCAGTCTAACCAATCGAAAAACGTTTGTAAATTTTTATTGGCAATCGTTGGATTTAGTACTGTGTACATCAGTCTGTCTGTGTGTCCGTGTATTTTATATTTTCTTATRCGGCGTGTATGGCGTAGCTGTAAGTGCGCGTTATCGCCATTCATATTTTACAATTAAATTTGGTTTCTAAAAATACTTACAAAATAAGATTACCCAAATATAAAAAATATTTTTTAAAGATGTCTCAAGAAATTTGAACGAACATTTCCGGTAAAACATCGTAACTATAAGTAATATAGAATAATATTAATGACTTTAATAACTCATAGAGCGAATATGCCATTTGCTTATTCTCACATGCGCACATTATGAGTTATTAAACTCATAATAAATCAGTTGAATACGAAAATTCGGGAATCCCGCGAGGCGAGAACTTTTCGAATAGAACTGGGATCGAGGGATCGGTAACCCTTTGTTGGACTACCTGTGTCGAACACAGGAAGCCCAGCGAAGAAAAAGCACGAAGAGACGAATGAGATTTTTTTTTTTTTTTTTGAATTAGGACCTTACCTTAGCTTTCAGTAGTATGCTCGATTATCGAGGTTAAAGTCCGTCTAGAGGTAGTGATTGATGTGGTTCCAATTACGTAACTGCAGCCTGTACAAATAAAGGAAGTAATTCATCAGCAGGAGAAAGCTCTCGGTTATATTATTTCTCAATTGACACGGTTTTCTTTGTTATTCACAAGGCTTTATTTTTGTTATAACCCTCATTACAAATGCGAGGTCAATATATAGTTAGTTATTAACCAGGTTTATAACTATATATAGACTTCGCATTTATAATGAGCAACATTTGATAGAAAACCTTCTCAATTGATAAATAAAATACTTAATTACCGAGAACGGAGGCAATAAGCCATATGCATCCCGAGGGCCGTAAGTAATTAATTCTTACTTATTGGCAAGCTGTACAAAGGTCGTTACATCGGAAAAAAACCCAAACCACAGGCAGCCCATGTAAGGGGAAGAAGGGGGGTGGGTGTAGTGGATTGTAGGAGGGGGAGGGGGAAGGGAAGTCTTTTGTGAGTTCAATCACAGCGCACTTCAGAGTTTGGTCATTATATCATTCATTTATTATTACTATATTATATTTCATTTTATTGGTTATAAACTCCAATGCAAATTTATTTATAAGGAGCCAATAAAATACGTTGTTGTTGTTGTAGTTCAGCTAGCTGGAGCGGGGGTCTTACCTATTTACCAGTCATGGTTGCTATATGGAAAAGATAAAATGCCTACAGATTTAAATCCTTCCAAAGGCAACCGTGTTATATACCTTTTAGTTTTCCCAGGAACCGTAGCGCAGTGATCTCTGAATATGTACAACCTCCCATAAACATGACTAGTGTAGGCCTCTTCTTTGGCGGGCTACCGGCAGATGGATCTAATAATTAATCGACAATAAAAACAATTTATTAACTGTGATTAACCATTGATAATTAGTAATTATTCAAGGATAATTAATAATTAATACTCTAATAATTGATAATTAAGTAAAGAAACGATGAACGAGGTGGTTTTAAAAGTAAGGCGCTACCAGATTCCTCTATTGTGTGCACTGTTTACGAGACAACAAAAAGCTGCAAATAAAGCCATGCTGGTCATTCGTAGTAATGATGATGGCGCGTCCATGATGATGTTGGTAGTGGTAATGATGATGATGAAGATGAAGATGATGTTGATGATGGTGGTGGTGGTAATGATGGTTATGGCGATGATGATGGTGATGATGACGATGATGATGAAGATGATGTTGATGATGGTGGTGGTGGTAATGATGGTTATGGCGATGATGATGGTGATGATGACGATGGTGATGATGACGATGGTGATGANGATGGTGATGATGACGATGGTGATGAAGATGATGTTGATGATGGTGGTGGTGGTAATGATGGTTATGGCGATGATGATGGTGATGATGACGATGGTGATGAAGATGATGTTGATGATGGTGGTGGTGGTAATGACGGTTATGGCGATGATGATGTTGATGATGACGACGGTGATGGTGATGATGATGTTGATGGTGGTGGCGATGATGGCGATGATGATGGTGATTATGATGTTGGTGATGATGGTGATGGTAATGATGATGAAGGTGATGATAATAGTGATGATGATGATGATGATGATAATGATGATGATAGTTGGGAAGCATGGGTGGCGTAGTGGTGAGAGTATTCGCTTCTCACCAATGCGACCGGGGTTCGAGTTCCTACGAGCTCGGTGTTCTATGTGAGTAGAGTTGTTTGTTGGTTCTCTCCTGTGCTTCGAGGGTTTTCCGGGTGCTCCGGTTTTCCTCCCTCCGCAAAAACCAACTTCTAAATCCCAATTCGATCTTGGGCTTTCACCTAGCATGGATCTGAGGGTTCCGTTCGTGATTGTCCCACTCTGTGATTACAGAGAAAACTGATAGATAGATAGTGCCGGTGCCGGTAGTGGTAGGGATGATGATGGCGATGAAGATGATGATGATGATGTTGTTGTTGATGGTGGTGATGATGATGATGATACACCCCTAGCTTCAATCACAAAATCGTTTACCATTTACTTACGTCTAACCGATGSAGGACGCCTCATCGYYGATACCTCGACACCCATTAACCTTGCCAAGTCCTCGATCGACGATATCCCTGCTCCGTGCTGAATCTGTTCGACTAGCTTGCAACTGATAGGGGTATAAGCTCCACCGAATACATAAGACATGTGGGATGGGTTTTTCAAGTTTATTTCTTCTGCAGAACGAGGAACCTGATGAAGTTGGAAAAGAACTGAATTAAAGGAAGTGGATGTCATCACTATCATGATCGTCAAGGACGGATCCAGGGGGGGAGGCAAAAGGGGGCTGAAGACCCCTTCAGCAGAAAAAAAACTGATTAGATGCTGCTTTTTTTTATTGCTTTTCGTTGTGTTGACAGAAGAAACTCAATTGAACCCCCCCCCCCTCCAAAATTTTGGCTGGATCCGCCCTTGATCGTGTATATGACCGGTCATCAGGGTTCGTTCCAAATCATTCATCAAACTCTACTTACCAAGTTTAATCGTTTGCTCGTAACTTTGAAAATATTTTTTCTCTGCATGGAAAAAAAAAAAGGAAGACTTAAATGTAAAGCCGAACAAAAGCCTAAAACAAAAAAGAAAGAAAAGGGATGGGGGAAAAAGAAATAAATAGGGAATAAATATGAATCCAGTAAACATAAACAGAAAAAATATCTAGAAAAAAATTAGAAAAAGAAAAAGGAAAGGAAATGAAAAAGGAACATATTGAATAAAAGCGGTAGAAAAAAAAAGTCAAGTACTAGCTGAAAAAAATCAATTTTACTTTGTGTTAAAAGCTAAACAGTACGACATGCATTTGACTAGTTCGTGCTGTTCACATTATAACACTATACGTCCATGCCGATGCCTTAGGTGCGGTAATACCGGCAATAAAGTATTTAAAATGTTGCCAATGTTGTGCCATTAACACACCTTTAGGAAATGATGCAGTTCGGCTTAAAGGTGAGTTATTACGGGTAACAAAATCGCGCAACTTGTCGCGCGACATTGTTACGTGCGCAACAAATTTTCATCGTTGCGTGAAGTAAAAAAAACTCTCTCTGCTCTTTGCAAGAGAGAAAATTTGTTGAGCGCAGAGTGGTGATAAGAGCACTATTTGCTCTGCAACTTGCAACGCAACAATGCTGCGAGATTTGGTTACCTATTACCACACCATAAGGTTTTTCCGTTAAAAAATCCTTACATCTGTCTCTGTGAATAATCCAAGTTTTTTGAGATTGACAAACGTATTCAAATGTTCGTATCCATAACTCTGTCGAGAAAAAAGGCAAAATATTTTAAGGATTATAAACAACGAATGAAGACCACGTCGAGCTACGTTGCCCTTCATTACACTAAAATCCCAATGCGGGGCAGGGGATGGGAAATTTTTGTTTAAACAATGTAGGCCCTTTATTACACTAATTTCCAATGGGGGGCAGGGGATGGGAAATTTTTGTTTGAACGATGTAGGCCCTTTATTACACTAATTTCCAATGGGGGGCAGGGGATGGGAAACTTTTGCTTAAACAATGTAGGCCCTTTATTACACTAATTCCCAATGGCGAGCAGGGGGGAGGGGAGGGGAAATTTCGTTTTTAACTTAAAAGGAGATGAGGGCAGAGGTGTGTAGGCAAAACAAAAGAATACGCTTCTCTTGAGGATTGAAATCTTTTTGATGTATAACAATCCTAGGTGGAGATTTAGTGCAAGGGGTCTTATGTTGGAAATATTTTGAAAATGCAACACTGAAGAAGAGAAAGTTCGACTTTCTTACGAGTAGGTATTGTTGTTTCAAAGTCTTGTGCAATTTAGGGTCCAATCCTGACAGAAAAGGAATAAAAAATAGATCATGAATATTGAAAAGAAAATTGTTATTTGAAATTAAATTAACCCCCCTTAAAAACTAAAGTAAACACGAAAACTTGTAACTAAGCTTCAACAAACAAATAAAAAAGAAAAGAAGAAAAAAGGAAATGAGTGGAGTAAATATAATAAAAGGAAAAAAGACGAGTGAAGCTTAAGAATACAGACGTTTTTGTTGGAGTTTTTTAGAAGTGTTTTTTACCTCCGTGTGTTAAAGACAATAGACACAGCAGCCTAAGTGCATTGGTACTGGAGAACTGTTGGGAGCAAAAGGAAAAGTAAAATAAAGAACATATCTTGACTGACTTCAAAGCACACGATATAAAAGAGCATAAACTATAAATATATAATGTAGCGCAGTAAAAGGGATCCTTGTAAATGAGGGGCAATAACAGCAAAAGGGAGTAAAGTTAATGATAGAAATGGCAGAAAAAAATAGCAGCAGCAGTTACAAAAGGATGGTGTTAACATGCAACAAAACAACCAACAGAGCAGTTTTCGTATGACTGTGAAAAGCTCAGTGCCGTGTACGTGCCTTGCCGTGACCGTGATGTTTTCTAGAATTTTAATTGGCTGATTATTTTTCTCGCGCAATGTGATTGGCCTGTCAGTGACGTGACCTTGGCGTGACCGTGTTTATGCCGTGTTCCGGGTATTTGATTGGATCGAGAGTAAATTCTCGTGCAATGTGGTTGGTCTGGCGTATCCCTTGCCGTGTCACGACCGTGTTCGTGCCGTGAGCTTTTCACAATTCATACGAAAACTGCTCTAAACAGGAAAGTAATACACAGAAGATTCAAAAATGGAGAGACCACACAAGCACGATTCCAACCTGTCTCATCATACACTCCTCAATATAGACAAGTGAATCTTTATTATCTGCCAGCTCAAGGATATCTAGATAAAAAAACATCAAAGTTTAAGTGATTAGAAGAAAATATAGCGAACTAGGAGATACTAGAGAGGTTTTGATATGAGTAGGAAACTGTAGGGCAAGTACCCAGCCATGCTGTAGCAGTACTGTATGTAGCAGTACTGTACCTTACCCGTACTGTAACTACATTGGGATTGGATGACTTATTGGAACAAGCTAATGGGAAGCCATTTCTGTGTTATGCCTCAATGTACAGTGTACGTGATGTAATTCAGTAATGTAACTACAAACCGTGATTGGATGACTTATTGGAAGATAATGGAAAGCCATTTCTATGTTATGGCACATTGTAC